CTTTGACTTCACATGTGAGAATGTTGCAGGCCAGAAGGGTTTGGGATGTGCTTCCTGTCGAGTTGGCGGCCAGGCAGGGCCGTGGGGGCCCCACCCCTGACTCTGCCTTCTGGTGTTTCCTGGGATGCTCACTCATGTCCCTGGTCCCCAACCCCACAGAGCCCTTTAGCCAACAGGTTAAAGTGCCAGTTCCCCTATTTGGGGTTGAAATGGTTGGTCTCTACAGTCCCTTCCAGAATGAAATGCTGTGACACGTTTACTCCCAAATTCTTTTTAAAAAAACATTTGTTTTTTTATTTATTTGAAAGGGAGAGTTACAAAGAGAGAGAAAGAGACACACAAAGAGAGAGATCTGTTGGTTTACTTTCCAAATGGCTGCAATGGCTGGAGCTGGGCCAGACCAAAGCCAGGAGCCAGCAGCTCCATCTGGGTCTTCCATGTGAGTGCAGGGGCCCAAGCACTTCGGCCATCTCCTGGTGCCTTCCCAGGACATTAGCAGGAAGCTGGATTGGAAGTGGAGCAGCCAGGACTCAAATCAGCATCCTCATGGGATGCTGGCATTGCAGGCAGTGACTTTACCCACTATGCCATAGCACTGGCCCCCTGTTTCCAAATTCTATCACAAGATTATTGAAGCTTCCTGGCTATCAGCTGTTTCTTATATAAAATGGACAAATACCTACTCAACCTACTCAACAGTGTTTTTTTTTATTTTATTTTATTTTATTTTATTTTTTTTTGACAGGCAGAGTGGACAGTGAGAGAGAGAGACAGAGAGAAAGGTCTTCCTTTTGCTGTTGGTTCACCCTCCAATGGCCGCCGCGGCCGGCGCGCTGCGGCCGGCGCACCGCGCTGATCCGATGGCAGGAGCCAGGAGCCAGGTGCTTTTCCTGGTCTCCCATGGGGTGCAGGGCCCAAGCACCTGGGCCATCCTCCACTGCACTCCCTGGCCATAGCAGAGGGCTGGCCTGGAAGAGGGGCAACCGGGACAGAATCCGGCGCCCCGACCGGGACTAGAACCCGGTGTGCCGGCGCCGCAAGGCGGAGGATTAGCCTAGTGAGCCGCGGCGCCGGCCTCAACAGTGTTTTGATTCTACTTAGGGCAGATTGTACATGTGTAGTTTCTTTAAAAACAATAATTCATGATATGAGTATGTCTGTATTAGCTAATTACCTGGATTTGCTCGATATAAGTAGTTGGATACTAACCAGTCTTTGAGGTATACTTGCTTAGGGTTAGTACTCATACCAAAGACTTTGACCAGACTTCTTATTGGCCAACAGAGTATTAGGAGAACATGCCAATTAGTTATTGTGAATATTTTCCATCTCCAATGCATTAGATATTTTTCAGTTCAGAAGAGGAAGGTCTTCCATCCTGCCTCCCTGAAATCTCATTCAACAGAGTTTCCTGAGAGACCAGTCTCTAGGAAGAATCACGCCAAGTCCGTGAAGAAAGCTCCAGCTCGCAGGCCAGGAAGGCGAGGAGACGGGTACGAGGTTATCAACATCCCAGGAGGAGAGTAACGTCGAGGCCAACTAGCCAGCCTGACACACACCCACGATCACCAGGTAAAGCTGCCTTTTCGAGAAGCAACTGTTTAGCATCCAGCCTGAATGTGGGCCCTCTACAACATTTGGGTTGCAGCTATTGGAAACCTCCGCCTTCCCCACGGGCTGTCACACGGGTCCCTCCTCGCACTGTTTAGGCTACTCTAAAGCACACTCCTCCATCCACCTGCTACTCCCAATCCAGGCTGCGCCACAGTGACCTTCACGGGGCTCACACGCCCTCCTAAACAGAGTGAAAAATCTCTCTGCACATTTTCTTTTGATCCTTTTGCAAAACATTTAATTTTATTTAAATAAAGTTTGTACTAGCTGTTTTATTTTTGGCGGAGGGTGGGGAGCAGGAGCAGTGAGTAAGGCACCTAACAATGAGCTGATGGGGAAGAAAGTTCAAAGAAGTGGATTAGTTTCTTAGGGCTGTCTGAGCACAGTACACACACGCCGTGGCTGGGAACAATGGAAGTGTGTGCTTCTCTACTTCTGGGGCTTTGACGTCAGAGGCTGGGGTGCTGGCCACACTGGGCTTCCTCTAAGGTCTAGGGAGGAATCCTTCCTGGCCCCTTGCTGGCTTCTTCAGCTTGCAGCTGCATCACCCCATCTCTCCCTCCGTTGTCACATGTCCTTCTCCCTGTGTCTGTCTGCACACCCTTTCCTCTTCTTACATGGCCATCAATCATCGGATGTAAGCCCTCTCCCCCTAGACCCTCCCCCATTCTGTTATGGCCTCATCTTGGTAATTACATCTTTTTTTTAATATTTATTTATTTATTTATTTATTTGACAGGCAGAGTGGACAGTGAGAGAGAGAGACAGAGAGAAAGGCCTTCCTGTCTACGGCCATACCACCCTGAACGCGCCCGATCTCGTCTGATCTCGGAAGCTAAGCAGGGTCGGGCCTGGTTAGTACTTGGATGGGAGAAAGGCCTTCCTTTGCCATTGGTTCACTCTCCAATGGCCACCGCGGCCGGCACGCTGTGGCTGGCGCACCACGCTGATCTGATGGCAGGAGCCAGGTACTTATCCTGGTCTCCCATAGGGTGCAGGACCCAAGTACTTGGGCCATCCTCCACTGCACTCCCAGTGTGCCGGCGCCGCAAGGCGGAGGATTAGCTTAGTGAGCCGCAGCGCCGGCTGGTAATTACATCTTCAAAGGCCCTATTTCTGCTAAGATCACATTCTGAGGTTCCAGGTGCGTATGAATGTTATGGGGACATTATCCAACACAGTGTAGTGAGAAGATCAGGAATGGGATGGGGTGGGGTGGGGTGGGGGGAAGAGCTGCTAACTAAAGGGTGCTGTGGTTTGAATGTGTCTCCCTAAACCGCATCATGTCAAAATCTAATCACAAAGGTGGTGGTACTGGAAGGCGAGGCCTTGGAGTGGTGATTGGACTGTGAAGTCTCTGCCCCGGGAATGGGATGGCTGTCCTGTACAGAGGCCTCAGTGGCTGCCTTGATCCTGAAAACACAGACTCATGGATGGAGCCATCTGTGAGGCTGGGCCCTCCCCACGGCCGGTCCTGCTGGCTCCTTGAGCACCAATTTCCCAGCCTCTAGTCTGTACGAATTAGATTTCTCTTGTTTATAAATGACCCGGTCTAAGGTACTTTGTTAGAGTAGCCCAAGCGGGATAAGACTAAAGGTAAGGTTGCTATCCAAAGGGTCTTGGATAAAAGACCGCTATAGCGTCTTCCACATTGTGTTCCAAGGCAGCCTGAAAACTTGTCATTTAGTTCCTGACATGGTAAAAGGTGTGGTGTTGAGAGCCTGAAGTCTAGGGACCAACCATCCTGACGTTAATCCTGGCTGATTTCACCAACGTGACTTGGGACAAATTACCGAACTTCACTGGGCCTCCGTTTGTTCATCTCTAAGAAGGGAATAATGGCTCTCGCGGGAATAAAATTAAATTAGGCGTGCAGAGGACTTGGCGTAAGGTAAGTTTCCAGTGAAATGTGGCCTTGGAAATGGGGGCGGGGCAGGCCTCGGGCCTGATGTGAAGAAAGGTGCAGTTGCGGACTTGACTGGAACGGCTTCGTGGAAGGGGTGACCGCCAGCGCTGGGGCACACGCACTGGGTGGCTGGGCGAGGCTCCGTGCATCCAGCCGGGCTCCGGGCGCGCAGGGACCAGCTGGGCGTAGCAGGAGCGCCGAGAGCAAGAAGGGAGGACTCTGGGGCCAACCCCAAGAGTGAGCTGGGCCCTTCCCTTCTGTGGACACCGCGTGCCGCGCCGACCTCATTCGGGAGTGGTCGTGGCCGACACCTGTGCTGGAAAACATTCCTCAGGCTCCGGCCCAGCGCAAGCAGCCCATATCCTGCGTCTCCCTTCCTCCTGCTGTCTGTGGGTTTTCAACTGCGTTGTAAATCTCGGGGCTTTGCTTTGATGTATCTCAAACATTTCCTCATCGCTCGCTCCTCGTGGGCAGACCCAGAGCTGCCCACTGTTAAGATTTTGCACTTCGCTCCGCCGTTTCATTCCGCGTTTTACAGCCTCGTGTGGTCCGTCTCTCCACCCCCTCACTTCTTTATCTCTGAGCAGGGTTATATATGTGACACCGTCTGGGCCACTCTGACCCCTGGATCTTTGCCAGCCTGGCTGTGGGAGCCACAGGCCTTCTAAATCTTAGCCTGGCCTCATTTGCTTCTTCCTGCTGGCCAGGGCACTGTGCTGTGCTCTGTATCAGCAGTGGGCAGGCCGCTCGCCCCCAGCCACAAGCCATCAAATTAAGAACGGCACAGCTCTCTTGATTAATTTCATTTGCCTGTCTTTAAATCCATTAAAGGAAATGCCTGTTTAAATCATTCTCTTGCAAGCGTATTTGTAAATAACACTTAAGAAACACTTCATCTAATTATCCTTACCACAGCTGACTGTTAACAGATTGAAGATGAAATTTATGTTTAGACAGCATTAAGGTACTCATTTTTTCTCAACAATAGGCGCTGGTTGACAAAATTAAAACAGAAAATGCAGACCAACAAAAATTAATTTGCACCAGGCTTAATAGTTTCTCTAAGTAAATCCAGTCTCTCCTCGGCTGCCTAAGAAAGCCATAAAAATTTCTGAGAAGAATCTCGAGTTCAGGATTCCACACTAATTGCTTTCCCTCCCCCTTTTACCTCCTCTCCTTCTCTTGTTCATCTTGACTGCGACGGGACACACAGTTTTCATCTCCAAAATGCCTTCGGCTCTGCTGGGGGAAGGAAGTTGGGGGGCGGGGGTGGGGAGGGGGCAGGCCAGGGAACCACATAAATAAATGGGAATTTCTACATGGACACGAGGATTTTCTTTTTCATTTTTTAAAAATGAGAATAAGGCACGAGTATAAATTCCAAAAAGAGCAATTTATTTCAGTCTATCATTTTTGGCAACACAATAGAACGCGCATTGGGATGAACAGTCACAAATCACTCCCTTCCCACTGTCTGTTTTCTCCACCATATGTTGTGGAGAATACAATTCGCATGCTGAAGTTTCGGCTCCTTCCCATGTGAGAGAGCACATTGTGGCAGCAGCCGCGGGGCCACCGAGCCGGCAGGTTTCCGAGTGATGTGGGGGAGGGTGGGCAGGAAGAGGAAGAGGAAGGAGGAAGTACAACCAGTCCTCAGGTCGGGGTGTTTGGCAAAGGCCAGAATCTTAAAAAGAGCTTACTCAGCAGCAGTGGGGACTGGGCACCTGCCGCGGTGACTATGACCGGCTCTCAGACCTTCTGGGAGGAGCCACTCCAGGGCCACCAATGCACACACGTGGTGCTCACCTCCCATCCGTCTCTTCCTTAGGCTGTTGTTGTCTACACAAGGGTAACTCCTTGCCCATAGCCCGAGAGACGTGAGTGTGAGAGAGACATTTACAGGGCGGACGTCCCATGGACCCCCCTGGTCTGTTCCAGTGGGACAAGCCGTTACAGGTGGGACAGATAGAGGGGGGCCTTTACTAAGTCCTGCTCCTCCAGTTGTTTAAGGCAAAAAACAACAACAACAAGAAACCTTGTGGTTTCATTGACAGCGTGATGATGTTTGAAACAATCTTTTTCAAAATATTTTAACGACTTACAGAATCCATCTTAATCTTCGTGAAACTCCATGGAAACTGAAAGTCTTTTCTGTTTCCTTGGGCTTTATCGGTATAGAGGGTAAAAAGTGAGTTTGGTTCCCTAACGTGTGAATCAATCCCTTGTCTAAATTCGAGTGCACAGATGTGGGGAAAGTGAGTCAGGGCGCCCCGGTTTGATTCTTAATGAGCTTTCAGGTTCTGCTTCCTGTGGCCGGTTTGCGTCCACGCTGCCTCATTGCCCGGAACCTGCAACTTGATACTAAAAGCTTGTCCACATTAAGTGCACGCTTTCTAAGTTTACATTTTTACAGTCTAACTGTTTGTCTTTGATATTTGACAGGGACACGGGTTCCCACGTCATCTGGCCTTGAAGTACTTTTAGAACTTTCTCTTGGACCAATCTGAGGGAGCTCAAGGTTGCAGTGAGTTATGGGGCCTTTAAGCTGCCTGCCCAGCAGCCGGCCCTAGGCCCACACTTGAGGGCTAACACCTGTCGGCTGGACAGAGCAATTAATTTTTTAAAAAATGCGGTAAGCCGCCAAGAATCAAAGCTAACGGATAAAAATATAATTTTACCTCTTGAGCTTCCAGGGGTGGCCTTTGATCTCTCCCGATGCCTGCGTGGCAGGCACTGATCTGAACCTCTCTGCAAAGGAAGCATCTTTGAAAGACGAAGACCCCGAGAACCGGCTGAAGGCTTCTGTCCGCTGTCACGTCACTCACACCGAGACCTAACTGAGCGAGCCACTCACAACAAAGAGGCAAAGAGCCCCCTCTTTAAGAAAATTATAATTGGAAGCTCGTAAATTATTCCACGGCCCATCCCTTGTAAGATCAAATGTTATTTCCCCAAGAGGTGACGCTTGGGTTTTCCGGCTGCTGATTATAATGTGGCATTTGTCTGAGAGTGTCTGTACATTCGAGAGAGAACGGTGGACTTGAAAGAGCCGAGTCCTAACCTGGGCTGGGGTCCGGCCACACATACAGCCTCCTCCTCCTCTCCACTCTTTGGTAGCCAAGACAAGGTCACTGATCAGGGCAATTTGCAGGAAAAGTCAATTTCTCAAGTGCCGAAGCAGGTGTTGTGGCGCTCCATGACAATCCACTGAGTCTAAATTGAGGAAGTTGAACAAAGCAAAGGTCGCGGTCCACAGGAAGAAGGGAGGAAGGCAGACCCTGGCGCTGTGTTTTTAACTCCTCTTCCACCAAGATGCACTCGTCCACCGAGACGATTCATGCCGAACGTAAATAAATGGAAATCAGGGTATCGCCCTCCAATCAGCCGCTTATCTGATTTCTTTAACTCAAAGGGGAGGATTGAGTGTTTGCTTGAATTCACAAGGAAATAAGCTCAATTTATAAGATGGAAAGAGCAGCTCTCCTGCTTTTGGGGGTTTGGGAGAAAAAAATCAAAGCAAGATGTCAGACCTTTGTGGTGTTAAAAAATCAAATCATAATACACATTATCTGATACTTAGTACAGAGTATAAAATAGAGTTTTTAGGATAGCATACGCTAAACACATCAAACCACATAAACATGGTTTTTAGAATAACATGATAAAAATACAAAACCATATAAATATATGGCTTTTAGGATTACATAGGATAAACATATAAAACCTTGCAGACATATTGCTTTCAAGCCAACATATTAGAAACAACATTTCACACATTCCCCATCTCCCCAAAATTAAGGACAGAGAATGAACCCAAACTGGGAAGTACTTTTAGGAAAGGAATGTGATCCTTGGAATTTATGACGTTGGTGTATAAGGAGAGTATGGGATATGGAGTCAGAAGATTTGAACTTGAATTCTAGTTAATCACTAATAAACCGTGTAGTTATAGAGACTCGTATTTATAGCTTCTTGAAGACTTCTTCCCATTTGTAAGATTGGGGGTGGTTGTGAGGATTCAGTGGGCTGTTATGTGGAGCATTTGACAAACTATAAATATTCATCACCGTTACTAACCCTCAGGGCGTCTACGCTGAAGGATTGTGTGTGTTCCACTGGGGTGCGCGAGGTTGGGGTAGAGGAGTCCAGTTGGGGGCTGGCGCTGTGGCATAAAGGGTAAAGCCGTTGCCTGTGATGCCGGCATTCCATATGGTTGTCGGTTCGAGTCCCGGCTGCTCCACTTCTGATGCGGCTCGCTGCTAATGTGCCTGCAAAAAGCAGTGGAAGATGGTGCAAGTACCTGAGCCCCTGCCACCCCTGTTGGAGACCCGGGCAAAACTCTTGGCTTCAGCCTAACTTAACCTTGGCCATTGCAGCCACTGGGGAGTGAACCAGTGGATGGAAGATCTCTCTCCCTTTCTCCCTGTAATTTTGCCTTTAAAATAAGTAAATAAATCTTTTTTATTTATAAATGACTCAACTTGAAGCAGAATATTAAGTGAAGAAGAGCAAGGGTGGAAAAACTTTAATAGTGGCATGCAAAAGACTGATGCTTGGGCAGCTTCTCCAGAGTTAGTTAAATTCTTCTTGGAAGGAAGGGAAAAGCGATGGAATCGTCTAACTCTCCAGTACTGTGTCCAGTACTAGAAGCTCACTTTTAAAGGGAATGCAAAATTAAAAGTAGGTAAACAGGTTGCTTTTTAATTAATTCAAACACCCAACCTAAGAAGAAAATATGCATCGTATTTCCATGCATATCAGCTTCCATTTCTCTTATTACACAGGGAATTCTCAGAACACTGTCCACGTAGCCCAGAGGTTTCTGACTGCTAGCTGGCATTTCGATGTTCCCCAACAGCATGAAATGCAGCCGACCCCTTCCCAGCGCAATCTGAGTGCTCCCCAGGAACCTCTCCGTCCTCTGTCCGCTGAGGTGGGCTCGGGCAGGGCTTTAGTCCACAGCCAGGACAGCCACATGGAGTCATGAATGCTCTGAACTCTGCCCTCTGCAGTTCACAGCCCAGAAAGTTAGGACCGGGAAGCGACTCTCCCCGTGTCTGACATCCAGGCTGGAGCTCACCCGGGGGCCACCGGCCAGCTCTAGGGTTGTCCTAGTTCCCTGAACCAGGCTTAATGTCCCAGCTGAGTCAGGAGGGCCATCGGACTTTAAAATTCCCTCCGTTCATTTGTCTTTTTATTTACTGGTGCTGGTGAAAATCCTCTCTCAAACACAAAGGGCAACCATAAAAAGCATTAAGCGCTGAAGACATGAAGAATTGAAATACAGGCTGAGGATTCTTCTCCCAGACTCATCTCCCACTTGCTCTTACCATGTAAGGTTCTTTTCTCTTCCTGGTTCACTTCTGCAGTTACTCTCCGTGTTTAAGTCTTCTCCCTGTGGGATAAAATACACCTTCCAGGGGCGCGTCTCAGTCTCAATCTCAATCGTGGTGTTTGGGCGCCTTCTACACTGCTTGGAATCTGTGAATATTTGGCTTTGATAATTGAAAATTCAGCACACAAAGATCGTTGTCTATAAAGAAAACAACACGAATGTTGACACGTATTCTGTTACTTGTATCATCTAACCTGAGAGCAGTGTGCCTTTTTATGTGGACGCATGGCTTAGTGAAACAGATAGTTTCCAATGAGCTGTCAAATATATTGTGGGAAAACAAATCATAGCTAAGCTGTCAGGAGCCCACGATCATTTTGGATTTCAGAAGCCAAGATCCAAACATGTGAGAAACAATCTCAAAACACTTGGGCATTTTGTTGGCACCGCTGGTGCTAGGCCTTCCAGAATTGCAAGTCCAGCCGGGTGCTCCCTCCTTTTAAAGTTTCTTTTTGACTTTTACATCTTACATTTTGAAGTGATTTCAGACACACACCAAATCTGAACAACAAGGACAAAATGTTTCCTTATTATACCTTTATCCAAATCGCCAAAATGGTCACATTTTTCCCAGAGTGGCTTTGTCATGCTCTCTCTATATCCAGATGGATGGGTGGAGAGATGGATGGACAGATGGACAATCTATTTCCTGAACCGTCTGAGAGCAGGTTGTAGGCACACACGGTCCCTTTACACCCAAATACGTCAGTGATTATTTCTCCATAGGAGGATGTCGAGGCAGGACTTCAGACTTGATACAGTATTATTATCTAATGTGCAGATCTCATTCCATTTTCTCCACTTGTCCCTCTAATCTGGTTTGCAAACCTTCGATACTCATGTCAGCCTCTATCCACGCTACTCTGCTCTATGTATGGCAATCCTGCAGACCAGAGGCAAATAATTATCAATGAGGAATTCATTGAACTCTTGTTAATAAGTTGCTTCCAACGAAAGAATACTGTTTGAACCTACACCTTCTAGTGAGTCCACATGAGTCACGCGATCTTGTCTCAAGCGTGTGCTGGCACACTCAGTTGTGAACTTGCCTCAGTGCTGTGGGTTCCCTAATCATGGAAAGTGAGCCACAGCCCCAGCCCTGGAGACATCGCCCAGCAGCACCCTGGGTCCCTCCTCCGGGGGGGTCATCTGCACCTGCATCATGTGAGTCGCACAGGGTAAGGAAAGCATTGGGCTGGTGGCCGCCCCACTAGGCGCCCGGTCACTTGTAGACATCAGTGATTGTATTCTTGGAAGGAACTAACAGGCACATGCACTTTGTTTTGCATGAAAAAAAGATACCAGTGAATTTAAATCTGATTTAAAGTAATCAGGGCACTCATTTCTTGCAGCTTTTCTAATCAAACGAAACACTGGGCTTCACGGAAAAAACAAGTCATCCCAATATTGTCATGGAGCTTTTCAGTTACGAGAGTCCTTTCAATCAAGAGCCTAGATCAGGCTGGGGGAGATGTTATTTGTGACAATGGATACTTTATTTATAATGCAATAGAAAAATAGACACACTACGTCAAATCATATTTCTAATCCTGTTCAAGAGGTCTTAACATAAGAAAACAGATTGGAGAAACTAAAGAGTGATAAAGTCCCTCCTTCCTTCCCTCCCTGTCTGCTCCCCCTTCCTGCTTTCTCTCTCTCTCTCTCTCTCTCTCTCTCTCTCTCTTTCTCTCTCTCCCCCTCTCTTTCTATCTCTCCCTCTACTCCGAGACAGGACACAGCTAGCTTGGGAACGTGACCTGAGCTGATTTGCCGGGCAAGTAAATAAATTCGGTAGAAAACACAAATACAGGTGGCCGCACCTGCGGACGCCCAGCTTGGCTGAGAAGGCCTTGGTCTCCAGCAGGCCACGCTGGCGGCCCCCTTCCCAACACCACTGACCTTTTGCAAGCACAGCTGACACCACTTCGCCTCCAGCAAGGTCAGAGGCAGCATCGGGAGAACAGAGGCTGCATTGTCTGCATGTTCACACGGTGGCCCGACCCCCGCGCTCCGACCTGCAGCTGGACGCGGCTTCCCTGTGGCCACAGCACCCGGGCCCCTCTAGAAAAGCAGCACGGAGCCACCTTGCTGCTAGGAACCCACTTTCCTTAAAATGCCTTATCTTACACTTCTTTTTTTTTTTTAAAGCTCTTCAATTCTTCGGTGAATGTGAGAATTCGAAACTTTCCTATTTGTACAAATTGCCTTTAAATGAGAAGTTATTTGGCCTGTGATGGGTACTATCACCTGTAGCCAAAAGCTCAATGAGCGCTATGATTAACGAGTTATAAAGCCAATGCATTGAGCCATGACATTAATACAGCGCTGTCGTGAGCAGGAACTAATTATACGTGGAAATAATCATTCAGCCTGAGAAAGGCATTTCCTATCAATTAGAAAACAGTGTCAGGAAAAGTCTTCTTATACTATTGGCTAAAAGAAAAGATTATTCTGATCTTTATAATGAACTTGGGGAGAAACATTAAATTTGAATTTTGGCTTCATTATAGATTTTGCTCTTTTGGTTTAAAGAGGTGCTACTTGATTATGTGATTATAAGCAATTTAGTACATGCGTAATGCTTGATAAAAGAAATGTATATCTCCCAGTTAAAGCTCTCAATTGGGTGTTTCGTTCTCAATGGATTCCATAAGGGGAAAAATGGTTCAAGACTACAGCACAAGTTTAGGGAAAGATTTTGGTCATTATTGCTCATTTATTTTCCTTCTGCAGCTAATTTAATTATCATAGAGACACAAACATTAGCTCCAGAACCGGGCTTCTCACATCTGTTAGTAAAGATTTGATTAGGGCTACACAAATGTGCTAGATTAAACTATCTAGTTGGTGAATTCAAGCCACCTGGATATTTTAGCAACATCAATAAGAATAATTCTCTTTTTCAAAATCGGTAAATCCATGCTATATTAAAAAGAATTAATTAATGAGTGCCAGATAGGCAAAACAAACATTTGACAATGAATCATATTATCAAAGGTTTTGAGGGAGATTCCGCTCAGCTTATGTTTAGATGTCAAATTATATTACCCAAATGGAACAATCTGTTAAGATGATGTCTTAATGCAATAAGTCTCCAGTGCCAGGCTTTTTTTTTTACTTAAACATTCTTAGTAGAAAAAAAATTGACATGCTCTATTTACCAATGATAATCAAATCATAAGACATTTGACCCAAAATGTTACCTTGGATAATTCCGAGAGCCATTAATATCATCATCTAATTCCTATCTGAAGAGCAGAAGAAATGATCCCAATATTACAAAGTTTGGCAAAATGATCACACATATTTCTCAAAGAATGCATCAGAGGATGAGTTAAGTAAGGATACAGAGATTGAAAGGATTACTATAAAAAATCAGGCATTCCATAGAATAGATTACAAATTCTAGAATGGGAAGAGACCCCGGAAACCATGCAGTAAACAGGTGTTTACTATGTGGTTCTTCTTGGACTGTAAATGGGCAGATAGTGAGTGGCGTAGGCTTTGAAGTAGAGATGGTCCTTGTCCCAACTCCTCAACTCTGCCTTGCACAGATGAGAGTAAACTAACAGGTGTGGTCCTGTCTCAATAAAACTTTATTTACAAAAGCAGGCAACAGTCTGGATTCATCCCATTGGTAGTATTCTGATCTCATGGAATCTGAATTCCGTCTTTTAAAAGGTTAGGCACTTGGGACCTTATGTGAGTGAATGACTGTGCAATGTTAAACAGCAAGTGGAACAAGAGGTGGCTGCACTGGAGCCGAGTCCAGCCCTGTGAACTTCCAGGCAGGGCTCACCCTGGGCTGCATGGACTGGAATGGCACGTGGGCGGAGGGTCATGTCCAAATGGAAGTCCTGCCTTAAAGCACACCCGAAATGCTTCACGCATTCGATGTCTGTGGGGTTCTGATGTGGAGATGACGTCTCAAGTCTCCAGAGCCTGAGTCCTCTTCTTTCAGAGACCTAAGAAGAATCAGACAGAATATTTTTGGGGAAAGGAACATGAACATTCTGACAGTTAACCAAGCGTGAAAATGCTCAACTGAAAAGCCACACATGGCTTGCTTCATTAAAGACCATTTCAGTCCTGGAAAACTGCTTTTCTATTGAATATTTATAGCAAATATGATTGAATAAGAAGAATTTAAAGTGGAGAAAACCCTGTGTGTTGTGATTCCAAATTAAATCTTATTTTCATGGTTGACAGTGTTTCGTATTTCTCAGGTTCGCATCACATAAAGAACCATCTTATTGCAAAACAAATTTCTAGTGCCAAATAATAGACTTTCTCAATTAACACTTGAGTCACCAACACCCCTTTTCTGGTGGATTTCTCGTTTTCATACAAACCATGGTTTTCATTGGAAGGAAGTGGAAGAGAGGAGTTTCCTAGGGAATCCGACGTGGAGCAGCGGTCTGGCTGTTTCGGGCTGGGGATTTGCATGAGAAGGCTTGGTAACCATTGCTCTCAGGGTGACAGTCCAGAAAGACATGATTGATGAAAGGGAATTGGATGTTTGAGTCAAAGTGGACCGTCATTAACTAACTGAACCAAGTAAATGAAATGGAGCTTCCACAGGGCACTGGGGCACATTCTTCTCAAAAACCTGGGCCCGATGTTCAGGATGTGTTTTACTGAAGGGGGCTGGGGAATGGAGGGAGCCATTACTTAATGGCTCCCAGCTTGCAAAGGTGAAATAACCCACACCGTATATATGTATTTTTCCAGCAGTTCTGTGTTGATATTGATTTGCACTTTTTTTTTAGCCAAACAGATGAGAGTACATTTGCTCATGTGGCCTGCGTTTTCTAACCCTGAAACCACAAAAAAAGGTTTTCTTGCTAAGAAAGGCAAATCAAACTCTGCTACTGGAATTGTTTTGTAGAGCAGGCATTTTAAACCAGGTTGGAAGTAAGTGAAGCTGCATTGTTTGCCACTTAGTATATGTAAGCAAATGAAATGATTTACAGTCACAGGATAAAGTTATGCATTTATGTGAAGCCATATTTTCATATATGGCTTTCCTTTTTGATCAAAGTAACAGAAGACTTTTCATATTCATTTTACAACAGTTCATGTTAGAACTTAACTGGTACATCATATACAATAATATAAAATATACTACAAAATTCATACATTATTGAAGTATTGGAACATATAATTTTAAAACATTTCAAATAGAAGCTTCTCCTCCCCCTTCCTACCAGTCCCCGCAGAATCCACCAGATTGCTTTAGGTCAAGGATAACAAAAGCATGAATGATTCAGATGAACACCTTTTGAACTCTCCTCAAGATGACTTGAGCAGTAGGATAACGTGGAGTCTAAACTGGAATGCACGCAGGTGGCCATTTCTCAGCTTGCAACATCTTGAAACAGTTTCCGTGCCTAGCAAGGAGGCTCTGTGTCAGAGTGTGGCTTGCTCATGAGCGAGGGAAAGCGAGGACCCAAATGAGCGCATATGTATTAGTTCAAGAACAAGACTGATCACCTTAAAGGTTAACAGCACAGAATCTCATTACCCTCCTCTCAGAAGCTGGCCACGGTGCATAATGTGACCAAAAAATGCATTTTTCATGATGTTTCAGCCACTGAAGGAATTTCTGTTTTGAATAGACAATAAGGAACACAGAGCATCACGTAATATATTTTTATGCAAGAATAACAAAGATGGGCGATTAGCAAGCTGTTGAATTAGAATGGATCTACTGTGATGACTGTTTAATTGCAAGGTTAATAATTGTTAATGGGTGAAGCTCTCGGCTGAAATGCCTGAACTGTCCTTGCTGATCCTGTAATAAGTGTAGTATAAGGAGCTTGAAGTGGGTGTTTGGCTTTGTAGTGTGTATTGGACTCATTTCTTCCTCTCTATTATATTCTTACTTTTGTTTCGCTTCTAATTTATATCATCCTGAATGCATTCTTAGAAGCTACTTTATATCATTTTTAGAACTAGAAAGAGTTGCACAGATCGCCTGAATTTGACAATTATGGAAATTTGAAGGTGTTGTCATTCACTGATAGGCACAAATTATTATAAGAAAAGCAGAAGTCATTAGCCCAAATAAAGGATTAGAGTTAACAATAGAAGTGAACCTAGAGTATAATTAATGAATTCTCTAATTGCTCTTCCTATGTTAGTTCATTAAGCCTGACTGTCGAGTGGATATTCGGACACCTGTCTCCAACATCTGTCATCTCGCTGATTCCCTGGGGTCGACCCACGGCAGCCTGAGAAGGAGGGTGTACCTTTCCTCCTCCAGTCTCCTTTGCCTTTCCCTCCAAAACTGCACATGCTGTCAAAACAAACCGTCTCCAGCGTGGTAGTGTGACAATGTGGAGAGCCACTGTGAGAAAGGTTGAACGCACCGGAGGCTGTCAGGGGAAGAAGAGAGATCACGCTCATTTCAACCTTCGCTGGGGTTGGTGGCCACGGCCCACGGGGCAGCAGCTCCTGGCCACGCGTCCTCCTTAGGCTCGCGTTTTCCTGGCCATTGAGATAGTAGACGGGCAGACATCTGCTCAGATATGGGTACTCCCGACACCGGGAATTCATTTATCAGGAGCAAGAAACTGCTGGCCTGTGTGTGGTCTGTGCCACACGACCCCGGGCAGGCTCTCCTTGGAGACTAACAATGTGGAGAAGGAAGAAGCTGGTCTTTTCCCGGTTTTGTGACGATCACTGGTGCTCCAGATGACACACCTACTAGGAATTGGAGGAGCAGAAAGACCTAGAAGGAGACAGAGGAACTGAAAGAAATAAAAGGTGAGTCTCTGTCAATTACTTCCCTTGTTAAGCTCCAAGAATGTACATTTGAAAAGAATAATTGCTTAGCTTATTATGAGGAGGAAACAATAGCACTTTAGCTGAAGAGTTAGTTGGCTAGCAAAAACAGTCTCTGGATAAATTCAAAGCTGGCACTTGTTTTGTTGGAAGTACCACGATGGATTAAGACACTGAAGTCAATAAGATATGGGCGGTGACTTCAGTCCTCGGCAATCAGTCCTAATGTATACCTCCCCCCCGCCCCCCAGGTGGTTTCAGGAGTTCCAGTCTCCTGGCTTCATTAGGAAAATGCTCTCCTGTATAGAATATGGGACTTGCTACAGTTTTCTGCTTTGGCAGACAAGCAAGTCCCACAAATTAGTGCCACAATGACAGCCAGGAGCCATCTGTGGCCGCGACTTGTCCAGGCCACATTGCAGATCGGTGCAGAGCCGGGGGCTGTGCGGAAGTGCCAGGGCGGAAGGAGCACAGGGTGGAGAAACAGGGGGCTCGGTTTCCAGTCGCCCGGTGACCTCTGCAGGTCCCCTCTGTACTCCGCCTCGGTCTGCAGGAGGAAGGGGTGAGCTCCTCGGCTTCTAGAGTGCCCTTTGAGTTCAGACTTGTGCGGACGTTGCGTCCTCTCTCCCTCTGGAGAAGCAAGCTTTGTTCTGCACGGACAGGGGTCTCAGGAAATCACGTTCAGTGAGAGGCCTGTCCCCCGTCCTCGCCGTGGAAAGCAGTATCACTGCTCAATTTAGTTGGTCCTATTTTTACATTTAAAAACAAGAAAAGTAAAAAGGGATTTACCAAGAGCCATCGAGCAATGGGTCAGCTTAGAAGAGCCCATGTTACCATCTTATCGGTGAAGTGCATTGATTGACTCATCCTTCGATTCATCCTTTCATTCAACACATATGGACCTAGTATTTAGTGGGGGGGGGGGGGGCAGAGGACAGAAGTCAGTGACCCAAGCTCCGTAACTCACCTGAGCTGCAGAAGCACTTGCCACAAGCAATAGGATCTTTATAGTTTTATTTTTTAAAAGATTTTATTTGTTTTAGTTGGAAGTCAGAGAGGCAGAAGCAGGGAGAGAGAGGTCTTGCATCCGTTGGTTCACTCCCCAGTTGGCTGCAATGGCCGGAGCTGCACTGATACGAAGCCAGGAGCCAGGAGCTTCTTCCAGGTCCCCCATGCGGTAACATAGGTGGAACAACAGTGTTTGAGACGACAGCAGGTGGGAAGAGCAGTGGTCCCTGAGAGGCAGGTGTCTTTCTTTTTTTTTTTTTTTTAGATTTACTTATTTATTTGAAAGTTGGAATTACAGAGAGAGAGAGAGAGAGAGAGAGAGGTCGTCCATCCATTGGTTCACTCCCCAATTGGTTGCAACGGCTGGAGCTGTGCCTATCTGAAGCCAGGAGCCAGGATCAGAAGTGGAGCAACCAGGTCTTGAACCGGTGCCCATATGGGATGCCAGGCTTCAGGCCATGCATTAACCCACTGCGCCACAGTGTCAGCCCCGAGAGGCGGGTTTCTAAGGGAGGTGAGCTCCAATCATCTGAGCTTGCCGCCTGGGGAG